ACCCCCACCCCACCCCACCCACCCACATGCACATGCATGAACAGGACACAAGGTAGTGGTGTGCGAGGGGGGGGCAGGGGGCGGCAGGCGCGCCGCAGAGGCCATGGTGGCTCAGGTTGGCCGGCGGCGGACTGCAAGTTGTTCCTGCTTAACCCTCCGCCCCCCCCCAACTCACCATTCACCCTCTCTCCTCATCCCTCCAGGCGTACCAATCCAAAGCCGGTGTCGACGACATGGTCATGCTCTCGTCCATCACCGAAAAGGCCATTGTCGACAACCTCCACAAACGATACAAAGACGACACCATCTACACTTACGTACGCTCTCCCTCATGCACGCACTCCCCACACACGCACATACACACACACACACACTCTCTCTCTCTCTCTCAAACTCACTCACCCACCCACCCCTGCCCGTACAACCCTCTTTGCAGATCGGCCCTGTGCTCATCTCGGTCAACCCGTTCAAGGGCATCAAGGACCTGTACTCGGACACCCGGCTCCGGGCGTACCGCGGCAAATACATGTACGAGCTGGCGCCGCATGTGTTCGCGCTCGCCGATGCGGCGTACCGCGCCATGCTCTCCGAGGGCGAGAACCAGTGTGTGATCATTTCGGGCGAGTCGGGTGCCGGTAAGACTGAGGCGTCTAAGAAGATCTTCCAGTACATTGCCTCAGTGTGCTCGGCGACCAACGAGGTGGCGCGGGTCCGTGACATCATTCTGCAGTCGAATCCGCTGCTCGAGGCGTTTGGAAATGCCAAGACCGTGCGCAACAACAACTCGTCGCGGTTCGGCAAGTACATGGAGATCATGTTCACGTACGGCGGTGACCCGGCCGGTGGTTCGATCAACGTATACCTGCTTGAAAAGTCGCGTGTTGTGAGCCAGCAGGCCGGCGAGCGCAACTTTCACGCGTTCTATCAGCTGCTCGCCGGCGCAGACGCCGCCATGCGCGAGGAGTTTGGCCTCGCCCGACCTGAGGACTTTTACTACCTCGCCCAGTCCGGCTGCACCACCGTGTCGGGCATGAACGACACCCGCGAGTACGCCGAGGTTGTCGAGGCCATGACTACCATGGGCCTCACGCCCGACGACCAGATGGGCGTGTGGCGGACGGTGGCCGGCATTCTCCAGCTCGGCAACATCTCGTTCTACGAGGATGACAAGGAGCAGGCCCAGCCGCAAGACATGGTGGCCATCGAGTACGCGGCGTACCTCCTCTGCACTTCGAACGAGGCCGTCATTGCTGCGCTCACCACCAGAACCATCGAGACCGGTGCCGGCTCACGCGGCTCGACGTACAACGTGCCGAACAACGCCGAGATGGCTGTCTACGCCCGCGACGCCCTCGCCAAGGCCCTCTACTCGAACCTGTTTGACTGGATCGTTGCCGCGGTCAACGTCAACCTCCAGTTCTCGGACCCGGACACGCTTGTCCTCGGCGTGCTGGACATCTACGGCTTTGAGATTTTCGAGAACAACGGCTTTGAGCAGCTCTGCATCAACTACGTCAATGAGAAGCTCCAGCAGATTTTTATCGAGCTCACCCTCAAGCAAGAGCAGGAGGAGTACGCCGCAGAAGGCATCGAGTGGACCGAAATCACCTTTTTCAACAACAAGATCGTGTGCGACCTCATCGAGTCAAAGCGCAACCCCATCGGGGTCTTCTCGCTCCTCAACGACGTGTGCAACTTCCCCAAGGGCACCGACGACAAGTTTGCCGAGAAGCTTTCGTCCGAGCACTCGGGCCACCCGCACTACGCGCCTGCCGGCCACGGCTACTTTACCATCTCGCACTACGCTGGCGACGTCACGTACTGCGCCACGGGCTTTTGTGACCGCAACAAGGACCCGCTGTTCAAGGATCTTGAGATCCTCTGCCAGAACTCGCAGTCGCCGTTCATCGCCAACCTCTTCCCCACCACCCGCTCGCGCAACGACAAGCGCCGCCCGCCCACTTCGGGCACCATCATCAAGTCGTCGATCGCGGCCCTCGTCGAGCGGCTGATGGCATGCACCCCGCACTACATCCGGTGCCTCAAGCCGAACAACAACAAGAAGGCCAACGACTGGGACTCGAACCTCTCGCGCCACCAGGTCCAGTACCTCGGCCTCCTCGAGAACGTTCGCATCCGCCGTGCAGGGTACGCCTACCGCCAGACCTTTGACCGGTTCTTCTACCGCTACCGCGTCATCTGCTCGCAGACCTTCCCCTCGTTCTCCGGCAACCACCAGGACGGAGCGTCGGCCATCCTCGCCTCGCAGGGCCTCCGTCAGGGCACCGACTTTGAGTTTGGGCGCACCAAGATCTTTATCCGCGCCCCTGAGGCTGTCTTTGCCCTCGAGGAGCAGCGCGACCGCCGTCTCGACACCTACGCCAACACCATCCAGCGGTTCTTCCTCCGATTCGCCATGCGCCAGTACTACCACGACCTGCACGCCGTCGCCAACGCCACCTTTGTCGGCAACAAGCAGCGCCGCCGCAACTCCGTCGAGCGCTTCTTTGCCACAGACTACGCGGGCTTCCGCTCCAACCACGGACTCAAGTCAATCGTTGCCGAACACGGCCGCGAGACTCTCCGCTTTGCCGCGCCTATCATCAAGTACGACCGCCGCTCCCGCGCCCAGCGCCGCGTCCTCGTCGTCACTGACCAGGCCACCTACATCATTGCAGTCGAGAAGAACAAGAACAAGGCCGACCCCATGCTCGCTTCGAAGCCGTTTGTCTACATCTGCAAGCGCCGCATCACCAAAGACACTCTCAAGCGCGTCTCGCTCTCCCCGCTTGCCGACAACATTGTCGTACTCCACGTCCCCGGCCAGCACGACAACGTCATCGAATGCCGCCGCAAGACCGAGCTGGTTGCCGTCCTCAAGCAGGACTACGGCGTGGACGTCGCCTTTGCTATGCAGGTCACATACACGCTCAAGAAGAACAAGACCCGGGCGCTTACCTTTGTGCAGGACCCGTCCGGTGGCCCCGGCCTCGTCAAGAAGACAAAGGTTCTCGTCGCCCCGGGTCTCGACAAGTCCACCCCAGGCAACGAGGGTCCGTCCGTCATTTCCATCGGGGCCGTCACTACTGCTGCCCCATCGTACTCGTTCAACCGCGGCGGTGGCCGTGGCGGCCGTGGCGG